AAACCATGTTGCATGCTTGTTTTTGACCTCGTAAAAAGATAAGCATACCTGCACCAGCAAAAATTTCATGAACGTATCAGCCTAAAAAAAATGAAAATAAAGTCCTAGCATCATCTGTGAACCGTAAGTACTGATAGGTATCTGATAATATAAAAGCATAAACCTGGCATTTTCTGTTTGGATGTTTCTCTACCCAACCAATGAACTGGTCAATCTTTTCATCTATCTTCTATTCAATCTCATGATCTCCACAACGAACCTGCAAGAAAGCTTCAGGATAAGATGGCTATAACAGAAACATAAACGCAAAACAAAGAACTTCAACGGAGACAAAAGCAATGCAAATCACAATTAAGCAACAGACTGGCAGTCTTTTACAGGTCAAACGCAAACCATAAACTAACAGCACACTTTATAAAGAAGCAACACACCAAACAGCACCAAGGCATGCCCAATTTTCTTGGTTGTCAAGTCGATAATAATGCATGCCAAAACTTGTGGATTGACTGTTAGCTACAGAATCCGGTCATGTGCATAAAGAGAAGGTCATGACAACTTGGACTGATAAACTATGGATAATTGGATATATGCTACCTAGTTAAGAAAGGGTGTCCAATGATGATGCCACATTATGACACCATACACAACAAAAATTGAAAGAAAGCAAACATAAAGAAATAAATCCAAATGGGACACTGTATGCAACGACATATGCCAGATATGGTTACAACTCAACAGCTTAAGTAGCTTCTGTTATAAGGCAAACAACTTACATAGGTGAGCTCGAAGTGTTCACACTCAACATCCTTGGGCCGAACAAGTCCTAATGCTCTATGGAAGATAATTGTATGCAATATGCCTGCAAAAAAGGAACTGATAAATATAAGCAGAGGTGTCCAAAAATCAGCAACAGATAAAGACAACTGCTGAAGATCAAAGGTCACAGGCAGTATACGCACTATAACCACATGGTCTGGAATGCTAAAGCAGTTCCAGCATTTGTTTCAGAAGTTCAGAAAAAAAATATACATGATAAAGAAGGCATAAGCAAAACTAGAGATTAAAAATAGTTTACGCCACTTTGATTCAAAGAAAATTTGTAGAAAGTTTATTCCATGATGAAATGCTTCAAGTATAAATAAATAAACAAAAAATAGTATGTTTACAATTTTCCTTTTTTTTATATTTAGAGTGCAGGAAAATCTAAAGTTGTGTTAATTTTGGAAAAGTGAGCTTGAAAAAAGCGAAACCATGGACTGAAGAATTTAGCCTTATATTTTCCTTGCAAAATCGGAAAACTAAATTGTATATTTATGACATGGCGCCACATAAACTTCTATATGAATGATAAATTGGTGTGACCATGTCAAATTGAAAATCTCGTGGATAAAAAACGTAAATTTTCATATAGCGTAAGGGTCGAGCACTTTCATATCTTTGCAATTAACCATTTTTTTACCATTGCATTGTTTTTTCGCTCACTTTAAAATCTTTAGTTTCCCAAGAAATCTAGAAAGTAACTTTGATATTCTCAAATACAAAAGAATTCTTACCTAAATCATTGAAATGACACCGAATTTTCCTTTAATTGCATGTATATGCAAGTGCTAGACCTTCCGAAGCTATAACAATTTACATTTTACCCTTTTTCTCTCACGAAACTAGGAATCTGGCAAAGTCAGACCAACTTATCATTCGTATCGAGGTGCGCACATGAACTATAAGTCAGCATTGCATAAGTTGTTGGCATTTGTAGCACGTGTTGTGCAGCATGACACACGGCTATCACATGCCTGACATCTACATACAGGGGCATCTACGATGCATCAGCAAAAAAATAGCTACGGTGAGAAAGCC